CCCGCGACGAACTCGCATAAAAATGCATTGGCCGATGCGGCGGTTTGTCCTCTAATTCCTGATCAAGCTCTGCTGCTTAGGTAGCTCAAGTCGCTTCGAATCTCATCCCGATGGCGTTGCTGAACCAGGCCGTAGCGCCGAGGAGGGTGGCCGCCCCTGGACCTATCCACCACACGCCCATCAACGGAAAGTTTAGGTGGGTTTTGGGCTTATTAGGCTTAGGCTTATGATTAGGCTTAGGCTTAGGCTTAGGCTTATGCTGAGGCTCAGGCTTAAGCTTCCTCATAAGCCCAATTTCAAGCTAAAATTGCAGATATTCCCCAATGGCCGGCTTGGCTCCAGCAGCAGCCCCTGTCCAAGACATCTTCACCGCTAACGCCCTCATGCAATTGGCCGCCGTCTCTTGTAAGTCTTTCTGGGTTTTAAGTGGTTTTAACGGTAGAGTATGACTCGATTCAAATAATAAACTACACACTGTAAACCCCCGAAAACCCCTGAAAATAGGGTCGAGCCGCCCGTTTTCAGCCGCCACCGGTCCCGCGCTAGGCTACGAGGGCGAGCTGGCTGCCTTGCAGTGGAACGCAAGTCAGTCGAGTCGCTGTAGGGAATGGATCGCTTATCGGAATCCCGAAAATCGGAATCTGATGTCGTGGAAAATGATGAAATTTTGTGGTTCCACTTTTGAGATTCCGAGAGGAGGAATTTTCAGTTTGTAGCCCCATGTATGCTCTAACATCAGTCGCTCATCCTTAGATTTATGTTTCACATGCTTTTATCGATATTGGGTGGAGGGAGAGGGAGAGAGGAGGGAGAGAGAGAGAGCAAGGAAAGATGATCCAGACAAATAGATGGATGCTTAGCATGAACAAACTTACCACGATTCGTAAAATCCGCTTCCTTGGGTCGTGACAGCTTCTACTACTCCCCGCCTATTTTTGTTATTAGCACGTCACATAACTGTCGATCACTAAAATATGCCTCATAAATCGTTGTTTTTAAGCCATATCGAAGTAATCTTTTTAGTCCTCCAAATGACGGCCGCCGGCTTCCCGGACTTACCGCACCACTCGGAGCGCCAGGTACCAAAAAATTAGTGCACGTTGAAGCCTGGGCCTCAATTTAGCCGTAGACCTGACGTCTAGTCAATCCGGCTTCTGCCTGTTCGTCTACAACCTCGGCCCGGATGTGGAAGACTCGGTTCTTTGGCAGCTGCCTGGACCGTTCGGTGCCGTGGCCAGTGTCAGGGTCAAGGTATGGACAGTTTTAGGTTGGTCTAGGTTAGCAGGAATCCCTGAGGAATAGCTTATCTGGACCAGTTTTAAAGCGAAACTAAATCGGGGATTTGTTTGAAGCGAAGATGCAGATTTTCTAAGTTATCGCCAGTTTTTGGGCTGTTGCCAGCGCAACTGTTGCTCGAAAGCTATATTGTCTTTCAAAGAAAAGATCATCTGAACCATGAGAAGTGGCTCGGATGTGAAGGATCGGAAGCGCTGTGAATCTGAGTAAAATTGAAGCTCAAATGAGCTACAAAAAGTCGTCCTTAAGAATGATATAACTGAACGAACGTGAATCATTTCTTCAAACCAATTTGCATATTCGGAAACAGCACAAAAACTTAGTCCAGATCAAGCCCCAAATTCCGAAGAAAACCTCCCAAACTTTCTTTATAATCCATGACTTTGCCACCGGCAAGTGCAAGTGGTACGGGTTCGTGACGATGGTCATTACGAGGAGGCCATCAACGCGATAGCCGCCTTTGAATGGGACGACATTACAAGGCAGAACACGGCAGGTCAGCCTGGCACCCGCCCTGCCTGGCCTCATGTGAATTCCTCAGTTCTCTGAATTCCGGGATATCCTTCCTGAATACCCACGCTAATCTAATCACACGAATTGAATATCTGGGATACAATGTCCATTCCGTCGTCCACTGTATGATACGGGCGTATGTAATGCGTAATATACGTACTTTTACGTACTGTTACGTACGAATACGTGAAAAACGCAAAGTTTCGTACTATTACGTACAGCTACTAAACCCCACGTACTTTTAAGTAGTGTTACGTATTCTTACTGCATTACGTACTACCCGCACCGTACCGTAACATATACTCGATACGTGTCCAATCCTGAAATATTTCCGTCCCTTTCCTAATGACGCTTCATCTCGACTCACGCCGGACTGGTCGTTCCGCCGTCTCGTACGACAGGGGTGTGCTTCACTAATTTCGACCATTCCTTGCATCTCTCTCAACTTTATTTTTAATTATTTAAGAGATTTTTAAACATCATTTCTTGAATTTTAAGATACTTAACGGAATTTTTGATAGTTGTTTTAAACTTAAACCCGCTCAAAAGTGTTATATATCCTACAAAACTCATATTTTTATTGTTATTTACGCTCGCTATAAGTAATAAGAAGGCTGGGACTTAAATAATATCCAAAATATAATGCTTCATCGACGCAAAAATTCCGCCTCGCTCCACTCAAACAGCTTGCCTATTCAATGTCAAAATTGCATTAACGTGTTTGCTGGGCATCGCCACTAAAAAATACAAAATTAACATTTGTTGATCGCCGTTAAATTCCATGTTATTTGCTTGAAATTTGCACAACTTTGATGGAAGTTTTCCGGATTTATAAGCTCTAGCAAAGACAATACGATTTTAACAAAAATTCAAGGCTTAATTGAGCTTTTTCTGTGAATGACTAACCCTAGAAATTCGTGAAATTCACGCAAAAATATGCAACTTAGGTATCCTTCAAAACGCGAACGGCGAGACGAGTCTTGTGAAATGAGAAGAAGCGAAACCAGAAAACACAGTGTACCCCCGCCTCCCTTTCCGGATACCGTAACCAAAATACGTGCTGTGATCAAGTCAATCTAGTATTACACGTCCAATAATTCTTAGCCAAATTGAGGTATTCTAATTTTGTCGGTTTTTTCGCCCCACCAAAGCTTTATCGATTTTCTCATGGGGCTTTGCGATGGGCAGGTGGGTGGGTGGAACTTGGAGCGTAGGGTAGTCGTTGGAGCGTTAATGGGTGGTTGAAGGCGGGTTTGGGTCAGGCTCAGGTTTAGGCTTAGGTTTAGGGTTTCTGCCTAGGCTTGGCTTTTTCTTAGGCTTGGCTTAGGCTTAGACAATGAGTCAAAAGTCGGGAAATTCAACGCCAAAATTAAAAATCCTTCTAAAACACCATTTAAGTGAAACTGATGGGAAATTCATCACAACCCTTACAAAAACCCCAATAACTGCTCCCTCAATTTCCCTTTAAAGCCCACTATCCCACGACGCGCCAATGCCCACCAACCTGCCCGCGTTCCTTTCGAGCACTCTAGTCCACCGTATCCCCCCAAAAAACAGCGTCTACCGTACTCCCCACCCCGGAAATATCCCACCCATTAATGCGCCTTGTCACAATGATGGAACCAGTATTTTTAGGAAGATGGGCTATGATCGATTTTTCCGAGTTTTACCGTTTTCCTGCTTCTCCTATCGTAATCCGGGTGTAAATTGGATATTATTGAGGCCCATGAACAGCCGAAACCCTCCGGAAACCTCCTGTTTACACTCCAGTATTCTACAGTACTTCGAATGCACACGATTGAGATATCCCCCAGCCGTCCCTCCCCGTGTACAATAATTTCTACGTCTCCTTCTCGCCCATTAAAAAGGGCAAAAACTATAAAAATTGAGCAAAAATATTCTAATTTCCTGGTTGCGAGAATGCACGCGCCTTTTCAATGACCATTTATCCTAATCTCCTCTTTCTACATCGTGTGCTTGTGCCCAATTTGTTTTTTTTGTTTTTTTTTTCGCTTCCAGGAAATGCCCTTTAACTTCAGTTTATTTCACGAAACACGATTTTTATTTTGTTTTTCCTGGCACCAAAAGTACACCTTACGACTCACCTCCTGGAGCAGGTTAGGCTTAGGCTTTAGGCTTGCGCTTAGGCTTAGGCTTAGGCCTGCGCTTAGGCTTAGGCTTAAGTTCCCGCTAGGCTTAGGCTTAGGGCTTAAGCTTGCGCTTAGGCTTAGGCTTAGGCTTTGGGCTTTATGTTTTTGCTAGGCTTTAAGTTTAGGCTCGAGGGAAGCTGAGGGGTGTGAGTCTGAGGTCCAGTCCACGCTGTCTCTATCCCGCCGCCTATTACCAGTTTTCAGTTGCTTTTTCAGCTTTTTCTGGCCTTCTTTTCACATTCTTTTCCTTCGGATAAAGTTCCGGTTAGCACAGCTTTGATTTTCATTTATTTTTTGGTTTTTCGGTTTTCAGAGTGAGTTTTTCGGAGTTCCGCTTACAGATTTGGTTTCGACTTTTTTAATCAGGTTTTCAACACACGCGGCATGGGTTTTTATTGTTTAATCTTTAAAAGGGTGATAGTAAAATTAAGCGAAATGGGCCAAATATTATACAAAACACAGAAAATAATTTTTCATTGAATGAGAATTTCGAATTTTCGGTCAGCAAACTACACGTTAAAATATTTATTACAATTTGAGCATTTCAAAACTATTGTATCCATTCGGTCATGGCGAGAGAGAGGAGAGGGAGTGAGAGAGACAGAGAGAAAACCATCTACAGGATGGTGACATTCTTGTACTTCTCCTTGAGCAGCGCCTCCAGCTCTTGGACGTGCGTCCGGTCTCTCGTCTCGGCAATAATCTTTACTTTGACCTGGAAATAAAAAGTATACAAAAGTATTTGAATTTAAACCGAAAAGACGTCCGTGGAGATCCAGGCTCGTTCGTGGAAGATGTCCTTGATGGAGGCGCCGCTGTGGGCGATGTGGGTGGTTAATTCGGCGATACCTAGCGGTGTAGGATAGAGAGAGAGCGAGAGCGAGAGAGAGAGAGAAAGAAAGAGAGAGAGAGAGCGATAGCGAGCGGTATGTGTCTTTAAACTACCTCCTGGCCTGTCCGATACCACAACTTCAATTCGAACCAAGCGCCCATCTACTGCCAACCCTCGTTCAATCGAGCGTCCCAATACCGTGGTATCGATATTACCTCCAGTCAGGATACACACGACCCTAAAAACAAGCTGTTGACTCTCTAGAATGACACCTACTTTTTGTCCTTCAAGTGCGGCACCTTATTCGAGATTATCGCCGCCAACCCCACGGCTCCAGCTCCCTCGACAACAGCCTGGAAGTAGATGAACTCGATAGGCAAAAAGCGCACACTTTCTTTACCTTTTCCACCTCAATGAGGCGTAGGATTGAAAGGGCGATCACCTCCTCGCTGACGGTGATGATCTAAACGGAGATTTCAACCAGTTCGGCCCTGCTTACCTGGTCGATCATCGGGGCGGCGGTCTTTAGCGAATTGCCACCTACGGTAGGGACGGCGAGGCCTAGGAAGAGGTCATAAATATACGATTTGAGGTACCATCAGCCAGGGTGCTGCTCGTCTCGACGGCAATGGGTCTGCCCTCCTTGATGGCGGCGGTGAAGCTGGCGCAGGTTTCGGTCTCGATTCCCTGTAAGAGAATTTCTGCGCTCTCTCACTCTCTCTCTCTCTCTCTCTCCTCTCTCCCGCTCCTTCTCTCTCTCTCCCTACCACTTACAATGATGTGACATTCCGGTTTTAAAGTCTTAATCGCGGCCGCAACGCCTGCGATCAGTCCACCACCCCAACTGGAGCAAATTGCAGCATCGACGTCCGGCACCTAAAGCTTTAGAGATGGTACAATTTTCTCATCTAAAGAGCCGGATTTTTCCAGAGTGCACCAGACTGCTCCAAGATCCCCCTTCCGATTGGTGTCCCCTGGCCGGCCAAAATATCCGGCGCATCATACCCGTTGATGTGCTCGGCCCTTTCTCTTTCCCAAATCGCATCGCGTAGTCTTTCGCCTAAACTCGAGCTCAAGAGATGAAGGGGTTGGATGCCTTGGCGATATTGTTGCCCTTCAGGATGACGGTGGCACCGTAGCTACAGCACAACGAGATCTTCATGATTGGAGGGCAAAGACAGGCATGATACCGTCACCGGGATGTTCAGCAACTTTTCCGTGGTAGCAGAGAGCTAGCGCGTGGTTTCCTAAAAATGTATTGTATTTTGGCATCATCGACGATCAGGGTACTGCGCAGAACCGTGCCGTTCAGAGGAGTGCGGCGTAGTCAAGGTCCGCCTATGCACCTATGCACGAATTGACTAAATGCGCCTGAAAAATACAATTTCTGTTGCGTCACAAGACCGAGGCGTTCAGAGGAGTGCAGCGTAGAAAACGCATCCCTACGCGCGACTCCTATGCACAGATTGACTAGGTGCGCAAAATCAAACCAAAAATCAAAAAATACCTGCGCTCGCCGCGATCACCCCGATTTTCCGCTCAGCAGCCGTCAAGTGCGACAAGGCGTATCTTAAGCGGAATTTTGAAATGTTAGAACTAGAAATCTTTACCTGGCTCCCCGCTCCTTAAAACTGCCCGTCACCTGGAGGTACTCCTTCTTGAAGTACAACTCGAAGCCGTAGAGATTGGATAGTTGGAGGGATTTCTAAAAAATACCGTAAAGTTTTGGTTTTAAGATTAAAAAATATTTTATCGTCTTTAGTATTTGATTAAGATTTTATATTCAGTGTATGGATTTTAGTATTCTACGCACCGAGCACGGCGTGTGCACCACCCCAGACTTGATGTTGAACATGGCGGACGAGATGTCGGAGAAGGTCACGGTTCTCGGTGTTCCGGATCGCAATCCGGGTCGGGGATCACGAGCGACTCATCGTCATCTAAGGATGAGGAAAGTTGATGCGCAAGAAGTTTTTGACCTACAATCGATTTTATCGGCTTCGGTCTGAGGTTCGGCC